CCTGGAAATAATTTTATTATCGAAGTGAGAACGAATTTTAATATGAAGTACCTTCAAAGTTACATGTCATTTTGCCATCTGATTGTGGCCGTGCATGTAAGGTAAGTGATAGTGGTATTTCTCAGCCAGGATTTCGCCAGGCTTTCTTGCTAATCCCGAGAGGTGAAGCCACACGTCACAAGATTTTTCCGAGGCCATCAAATGTTTTGGATCTGGTAGTTCCACACTCGAAAGCTCGATTGCAAGGGGATTTGGTCAGTGACCGCTCATTAAAGGACTAATGATGAAAACTGAGGTTGGAGCTATCGTTCATTTTCATGTGATTGGTTATATTTTTTTGGTGACCACGGTAACAGTTTAGTAACAAAAAGTCATCTAATTTCACAGATTAACGATCAGAAAACCGCGCTCGCAACATCAATTACATTTAATTAATTAATCCTTGCGACGTCAATTAACAGACTCATTCAAATCTTTCTCACAATCTCATAAACCGTTTTTCGGGAGAGATGTTATGGAAAATTATCTTGTAAGCAACGGAGTTAAAAAGGTAAATCTTAATTTAGCGTTATCAGGGTTTACGAAAAGCGAAAAAGCAAATCAAAATCACTATCGACTTAAGTGGTGCGATAGCCGTTAAAAACTCCTTTCTTCTCACATGGGAAAACTAGTATGACCTTGACCTTTACGCGATTGGTTTAAGTTTTGATTCTGATTGGTTTAAAAAGTGGCGCACATTTCCAGAACGAGTACATAGCGTAGTAAAGCAAAGCCAAGGAAATATGGCATTGCGTTCGACGCTGGATCTGTTATTGACATTGGAAGAAAATTCTTGTTTCGGACTTTTCTTAGGTGTCAATTTCCACACAAGTTGTCCATGTGTACGACCCCCGATACCTTGAATGAGCAAGACTGTCAGAATCTTTATCATCCCGGTTGTCAGGGTTATTCAAAGTCAACATTTTCGTTCTTTTCAAACCTCCAGCTCGTTCTAAAGTATTAGATCTATAATCTACATGTTCGATACCATGTTCGATACCATTGGTCCGATACCAAACATATTTTGGTATCGGACCAATCCCCTTTACACATTTGTTTCCACGTTCCACACAGATGGTCCAGGTGCAAGACCCCTAAAGATGGAATAAGGAAATGCGAAGTGTAGCAGAGGAACGGCAGAAAGAGTACAATCAAATGAGCGCACTTATCTGAGAAAGGAAAACAACATTATCTGTTAACCTGGGATACAAGTAGAGAGTAAGTAAATCACGTCTATACGTAAAACACGAAGTTGAAGTTTCTTGTAGTCTGAAGTGTGTTTTGATGGTGGTAAAAAGACAAAGGTATTATTAGTTTTACGCTCCTCTACTTTCTTGTATCCGGCGATCGCTTAATGTAATGAAAGAAACGAATTCATTTATTAACCCCTATCACCCTGAGATTAAAATTTGCCTTTTTTCCTGGAAAGGTAAAGTTAGCTTCCATTTTGTTCTTAGGTACTGGACATATTGCCGTAAGTCATAGGAAGAACAATCCACCGAGAACGCATGAACTTGCTCGGTGGATTGTTCTTCCAATGTTGACTATGATCTTCACTTTTCAAAGTACTCTGTTGTGTAAGTTTTGTTTACTTTCACTGTGGCGTCAAAGGGAGAAAGTTGAATCCTCTAGCAAGGGAGTTTCGTCACCATCTCGGGTCTGCAATTTCAGTTTTGGTAGATTTTGTAAATATTTTAAATGAACTTTGTTTTCCTTGGAGTAGTTCTGTCCTTTATCTCATAAAATAAAACGAATTCCCTCATCAATTATCATCTCTGCCTACAACTTATATGTTTTCATACTAGGGATGGAATTGAAGAGGTCCTAATCAAATGATTAAAGAAAACGAATTTGCTTTTCAACCACTTTAAGAACCACTATTGTTCATGAAATGAGCTACACGATCCCATTTAGGATTTTGAATTGTAGATGTGATTGAGGAGGGATATCATCCCAACGAGCTTCTTGTGGCATAATTTACCTACAGAATATTTCACAAAACACAAAAGGGTTACCCAAAGGGTTTCTTCGTTCCTTAAAAGAGATACGACAAGCCACCAGCACAAGGAAAGTAGCAAATGCGATCCTCCACAAATGCTTAGCGTAGACGTCCCTTCTAAGATCCATTTCCTACCAAGGCATATCCTTCCAAGGTTCTGTCCCAGTCCACCAGGTAAGCACAGAACACAGACTTATCGCAGCAGCAAAAGGTCATACACACTAACGGTCTGGTGAATGTTCTTATTTGCTTTCAGCTGTGTTGGTAAGAGCCGTAAATGACGACTGAAAAAAGTTTGTTTAGCCACTTTGTTACCAGCGAAATCATTGAGATCACAACTTCGAACTGAAACTGTCATCGCTTGATGAAACTCCGTTACCACAATTGTATAAATAGTTTTCTTCAGGGGGAAAAAGCAGAATTAAAATGCATTCGACTTCGATTTTGAATTTGTTTAGTTAAGATTCTTATGACCTCTACTGACTGGAAATCGGTTACATGCCAAGGTCACGTTAGCAAACTGTCACGAAATACTCAATAGCTTCTGTTTTCGGCCTTTGTTTTGGTAAAAAATATATAAACTTTTCACAGAACAGACCTTCTTGCTTTATTTGATTTATATATCTGTATTGGTCTGGACACATGCATATGCTGACTGGCTGTGAAAGGCATTCATCACAGTTTTTGATTCAGAGTAGTATAATATTTCCCAAAATATTTCAAACACAAATGTTTCCTTAATAAGTTCGTTATTCCCGAATTTCCCACCTTGCAACAACCCCCACAGAAGCATAAAAGTCAACTTTATAGCTTGCTTTAGTTTTTTTTTGGATTTTTATTAATGATTTTTCCTCCGAAACCAGGAAACCCTAGCCAGGTAACTAGAAATTCTCAGTTTCATTTAGAGCTTGTCCACAACACAACTTCAAACTTGCGTGTGCTTATCGCATCCTTGAAACCTTCCAGACCTCTTCAAAATTGTTGAGGCTAATAATAATCTTTGAGTTAACTATGACCAATTCACGCCGCGAGCGCGAGAAAAAGAGAACCACTCCGCAGGACTGAATACGCGATGTGGAGTGTTATAAAATCCCACATTCTCGCGCGTAACGCTTTCTCTAGAGACCTTTAGAAGTGTTGTTTAGCGAAGATAAACAAAGTTATCTTTGGTTAACTCAGAGAACTTGCAGAAATACCTCCAGCCTGCATAGCAGGCGCTTTATGAGCCAAGCGAGGCGAAAGCGGCATTTTACGCGAGGCGCGAGAAGCGACGAGGGGCGGAGAAAAATAAAGCCTTATTTTTCTCCATCCCTCGTCTCGCACTTCGAGCAAATGCCGCGTCGCCTCGCTTGGCTCATAAAGCCGCTGTTATGAAGGCTAAAATACCTCTTCACATTTATAAGATAAGGTGTCATTGACTTGTTAGAGCGGGGAGAGACATTTATAACGTACAAATAGTCACGACCTGAAAGGTAACTGACTGATTTGTAACAAGGACCCAGCATGACAAACAAGAAATGATCTCACTCTCCGAAAAGGAACGCTCTTTTAAACATGAACAAAATTTCAAGCAAAAAAATGAACAAAATAGATTTCTTCTTGACTTAGTTATTCCGGCGAGAACAAATGGTGAATGATTCACTCCTGAAAGCAAGCCTCTGAGGAGAAGTGAGAACACCGTTTAGGCAAAACTCTACACTTTGTGTACTTTACCAGCCTGTTCACAGACTCTCTTCATTTTTAGATATTGTCGAGTGCACGTATAAAAAAAAAAGCGCGTTCCGCCCTCTCTCACGAGCAATCGCTTATCTTGTGCGCGCACCAAATTCCCAAAACAGAAAAACGTCTGTGAACAGGGTAGTACTTTCTGTTTCTACATATTTTGCCCACGGAGCTGGCAAGTACAATTGTTGACGGCTTTTTTCAGCAGGTCAACGTAGAGCGCTTTGCGGCGAACAGGCTTGGGGGTACTTCTAATTCTAGTTGCTGACAAATGTTTTGAAGCATTCCAAGTTTAAGTCGCTCCAGAGATCCTCCCTCGGCCATGGCACAGATATACGGTACTGATCGTAAGTGATGGGGTGCTGTAGCTTGATGGATAGGATTGTTTCTCTTGCCATGGTAAAGTTTTCCTCTTCTACTACAGCTTGGATTTCAGCATCGTCGGATGTTTGCCGTCGGACCTTCGCTGCAAGACGTAAGAAATATGAAGTGCACTGCTGCGGGGTAAGAAACTCGGATACTTTGAACAAACGAACACCATCAGGTCCTTGTGCACGTCTCATTTCACGTGATACGATATCACCGTCTAGTTTTCTTCGTCGTCGCAGGCGCCAAAATGGCAGCCACGAATCTTTTTCGTTCTGCACTTTTGTGCTTTTTTTTAGTATCTTATATTGGTATTTTACCAGTTAATCAGCTGCAAGACTTGCCACTACAAGACCAAATCGAATATCCCTATCAAATATCTCAAGTGTTAACGTCTGTCAACATTAGCCGTTCAACCGGTTTCCATCGAACAGGCCGTGCAATTTGCGTTTGGAGAAAACATGGCTTTGTTTCCCTCAGCATTCCCGGACACGATCCTCCGATTGAAATAACTATGTGTATGGATGTTGCAACCAACCCGGGCCCAAGCTCTTCCTTACATCAACGAAACTGGCAAACAGATGGAACCATAAATCATCCTCCAAGTTTTAAAATTCGCGGGAATTCAGTTTGTCTTTCCTATTTGCATACTAACGACTGCACGAGACTCTGTTATTCACGCCAAGATCTTCTCAATATTCGCCGTACCATCTCAATACCGCCACCTTCTAATGCTCTAGGCTCGTTAAAACTTGCTGGAATTCTGAGATATCGTGGAAAGAGAGCAGGAAAGCACCGAATACCAGTAATTATACCCAATCAATCGCTGAAAACACGACACTTGCAAAGAAGTTATCAACGGGCACCGGGAAGAAACATCAATAATTTGATTACAATTCCAACAAAGAATGGCAAAATGCAAAAGCAAAACACCAGCCATTTCGTACCAACCATTATGTTAGCGAATACTATGTCACTGGTTCCTAAGCTGAGTGAAGTTGAAGAACTTATCTTAAGGGAAAAAATTCAGGTCTGCTGCATTACAGAAACCTGGCTGAAAGACCACATCAGCGACACAGTTGTAAACATTGAAGGATATAACATCACACGGAATGACCGATCATCTCACGAGCATGGAGGAGTCTGTGTATATGTCAAGGAGGACGTCAAATATGAAATTCCCGAGAAGTTACGTTGCTGTAACGACCATGAAATAATCTGGCTCAAATTAGATCCATCACGCTCTCCCCGCGGTTTTTCTTGCATCTTGCTGGCCGTCGTTTACTATCCAGGCCGTAACAGTCCAGCAGAATCCGACAGTCAGAATTTGCTCAACCATCTATTTGACAGTTTGAAATCAGCCGAATCTTTGTATCCAAATTGTGGAATTATTGTCACTGGCGATTTTAACCGTCTTGATATTTGCCATTTGCGGAACCATTTTAAATTAAAGCAGCTTGTTAAATTCCCCACAAGAGGCCAGGCCACGCTTGATCTAATACTAACAAACATGGGCAATCACTTCTCAACGCCCGAGAGCTTTCCCCCCTTTGGTCTGTCAGACCATAGCACAGTCATCGTAAAGCCGAAGGAAAGGATACTGAACCAACATACCAGGAAAAAGATCAATATCAGGGATATGAGAGAAAGCAAGAAGACAAGTCTCGGCCGCTATCTCAGCAATGTCGACTGGTCATGCATCAATATGCAAAGCTCCTGTGAGGGAAAACTCCGCAATTTCAACGAACTGATAACAAACGGCATAAATAACATCATGCCAGAAAGGTCGATTAAAGTTTACCCGAAGGACGCCCCTTGGATGACAATAAAACTCAAGGAGTTGATTCGTTTGCGTCAAAATGCATTTCATTCCAACAAGAAGGGTCCAGTTTTCAGATTCTACCGCAATGCTGTCAATAGAGAAAGGAAACTATGCAAAGCAGCCTACTATTCTTCAAAAGTGCAAGATCTCAAAGGTGTGAATCCCCGTCAGTGGTGGAAAGAGATAAATAAACTGAGTGGATCCAAAAAACAAAACCCCAATTTACTGTCCTCTCTCGATGTACAGCAATTCACCAACATGTCCCCCCAAGAAATCGCCAGTGCAATAAATGAAGCTCTTCTAGAACCGCTCCAGTCTTATCAGCCTATCAACTGTGAGAACACGTCTGTTCTCCTTCCCACAGGAGAAGGCGCCGAATTGCCTAAAATATCAACACATCGAGTGTACATTAATCTGAAACGCCTCAACAAACACAAAGCTCCTGGCCCGGACGGCATACCTAATTGGGTTCTAAAGGAATACGCCGAAATTTTAGCACAGCCCATAACGGACATTTTGAACACTTCCTACAAAGAACAAAAATTGCCGTCAGTTTGGAAATTGGCGAATATAACACCCCTCCCAAAGGTAAAACAAGTGACTGATCCCAAGAAGGAGCTAAGGCCAATTTCACTTACACCTACGTTATCAAAACTTGCTGAGGATTTTATAGTTTCTGACTTCATCAAACCGGCCGTGGAAAAAGTAGCGGACCCAAATCAGTTCGGAACGGTATCTGGATCATCCACTGTACTGGCACTCATAAGCATGATACACAATTGGCTTGAAGCAACAGACGGAAACGGAGCGTCAGTTCGGGTCCTTCTTTTTGATTACCGAAAGGCCTTTGACCTAATAGATCAGTCCATCCTAATATCAAAACTGAATCAACTGGACATTCCGAAGAGCGTTATTAACTGGATAGTTGACTTCCTTTCAAATAGGTCTCAGAGAGTTAAACTTGGCAATGACTGTTTCTCTGAGTGGAGCAAAGTGCCTGCCGGAGTACCACAGGGAACCAAACTGGGCCCCTGGCTTTTCCTTTTAATGATAAACGATTTGTCAGTTTCGCTCGACAATTTTAATCTGTGGAAATACGTTGACGATACGACGGTATCAGAAACCGTCCCGAAAGGAAAGATTAGTCACGCGCAAAGTGCAGTTGACCAAGTACAGTCCTGGTCTGAGGAAAATCTATTTCAATTTAATTGCGCAAAAACCAAAGAACTGTTGATCAGCTTTAGCCCTCAATACCCCCAATTTCCAAAAGCCAACGTGGACGGGGAACTAATTGAATCTGTGCAGTGTGTTAAACTTCTTGGACTCAATATTAATTCAACTCTAACTTGGAACAACCATATTACAGAAATAATAAAGAAATCCAACTCAAAACACTATTTTTTGATTCAACTTAAGCGGGCTAAAGTACCTACAATCGATCTTGTAGCAATCTATTGCGCAACCATCAGGTCCTGCCTAGACTACGCCTGCCCAGTGTTCCACCATGCACTTCCGAAATATCTACAAGTCGATCTGGAGAGAGTGCAGAAAAGAGCCCTCGCATGCATCTTCCCAGGAGCATCATACAAAGAAGCCCTCGATCAAGCAAACATCCCAAGCTTGAGAACCCACCAAGAACAGTTGACATCGACACTTTTCCGATCAATTTTAGAAAACAAAAACAACAAAATTCATTCTTTAATCCCAAAACGTTATCAGGCTAATTACAATTTTAGGAAACAGAGGAATTTCAATCTTAATCGTTGTAAGACCGACAGAGCGGCAACAAGTTTCATAAATATGTGTTGCAGAAACAGTTTGTACAATTAATTAATGTGAAGTTACGCAATTCAGTTTTATCTGCAATGTAATTTTAATAAAACACAGTCTCTCTCTCTCTCTCTCTCGTCTTCTCGGATAAGACGTTAAGCCGGAGGTCCCGTCTCCTGCAGGGTTTGGGGTAGGAGACGTTAATTTCCCACGCACGAGATTACTGTGTGATGGATGTCCTCCCCTGGGTTGGGTTGGGTGGGTTTGTAACTTGTAAGGCGCATCTGAATATATTCATATAGATATTTGCGCCGAATAAGTATTTATTTATTTATTTTATTTATTTATTTTATTTATTTATTTTCTGTCGCTGGTTGGACCAATTGTAAACTTCGAATTTAGATAATCCGTCTGGTTTTGGTTAAAGCGATATGCTTTTTTGCTCGGCTTTAGCGCCCATCCTTCTTTTACCTCTACTTTGCCGGATGTAGCCTCTCTTGTATCCCTAAAAGACGCAAACGAAATAACTTGACTGGTCGTGCCCTCCTCCAACCTGGACTTGTAGCCTAATTTGGCAAGGTCTACCAAAGACCGTTGCTCTAGAGACTTGGTGCATTTCTCTAAAGATAGGTGCTTTTCGAGAGAAGACAGTCTTTGAAAGACCTTAAGACACCCATCCTGAGGGCAGGTAAACACGGATGACGATTCATTTGTAGGGTCAGTGAGATCATGAACCTGCTCCACTTCCGTCTCTTGCTTCTTCCTTGACTGAGTCGGTTTTGGGCTAAGGGGTTTAAAGTCTTTTCCCTTTCCCATACCATAAGCGCGCCAAGCTACGAGAATTTCGTCTTTAAACTCAAAATTGTTTAATTTGTTGATACCAACAATCTTTCTGTTGTCATCTACTACTGCTTCCTCTTCAACACTTTGCATGACAGCAACTCGAACTCCTTCTATCCCCCCATGCGAAAGAAGAGTACTCTTCAGTTGTTCGGCATTGTTCACGTGATTTCCTTCGTTTATGAAAGTCCTGACGTGATTCTTGCAGGTTGCAGCGAGCCTGTCTGCGGCACCTTTTCCACCCTGTGGGTCAGAATAGTCAATGCGCTTGATTTCGATGCCGGTGGAGGAGGATATCACTGGGCATGAGAGTACCGTCGGTGGACGACGAATGATAACATCCTGCGTTATCTTGGCGAAAGAACGCCTTGTTAATCTCACTGTGCTCCAGCTTGATGATATTCAGGACATCCTGCATGATTTTAACCACTGCAGCACTGCCTTGATTGCACGACTGGACTATGTGCAGAAAGCCCTGCCACTGGAGTACCCCCCTCACACGACGGTAGACGACAGAAACGTGCCAGGAGATGCCTCGCTTACCAAACCAGTCGGTTTGGGACTCTCTGTATTTTTGTGGCAGGAACTTCATGGCCCAGTCGTTAATTATCAAGACAGTGTTGTCGTCAAGTTTCTCCAGTGCATCTATTCTCGCTTGGTCTTGGTTAGCTGATCTAAGAATATGGCATTTCCAGGACATTATGGCCAGCTGGGCTGTCTGTAATATAAATAGCGCTTCGTCTTTCGCGTTCTGATTCGGAAAGGTCGTCTCGCCAAGGACCCGTTCAATCTTTGCCAGAGTTTCCTGAAGACTTTGACAACGGTCACAAAGATCAGTGTGTTGGTGACTGCATTGTTGCTGGTAATCTGCATCACTACTGTCGCTAAGAGCAAACAACACACAATGGTCTGCTACGTTAGAGGGGCTAGTGACATGAACCTGTTGACAAAACAAAGTTGAGATTACTGTTTGTCTGCGCTTATACTTCAATATAATAGTTAATCAAATGATTTTTTAATCTAACAAATATTATTAACGTAAGGGGGCGAATAACTTTTAACCTTAACCTTAGAAAAGACCACTATCCTCGTGTGCGCATTGTTAATCTCGAGAATTTATGTAAGCTAGTTACATACGCACCATTTAGAGAAGAAAAAGAATACAAAAATACTGCTTGCTTGTCATAAGAGCTTGCACAACTGTAGTCTCCCACTCCTTGCCGGAACCTAATTCCTCTATTTGGCGTACAAGGGCCACAAGATCATCAAATGCGCGAGCACCTTCAGCTGCAAAATATCTAAGCCCTGCTGTGATTTTCTTAGTTTCGCTGAATGGTTTGAAGTTGGTCTCCAAACAGTACTGAGTGTACTGTTGTACCACTCGTTCGGGTATCATCATACGGATTACGTTAGGTACTTGAATAACCTCACCAGACGAAAGCTTGAGATGTTTTTGCCCAAATGGAAAGTCCTGAACAAGATGCGGGCTCGTTATGAAACCAAGAAAGTGGTCAAGCTGCCTCAAGTCTACTCGTATTCGTGTGATAGGCTGTTGTGGAACTTGAGCGCCTCGGACTAGTATACTGAAATAGTGCGCTCAAGTCTGGCCAAGGGCATACACCTATTTCAAAACATAGGCATGCTATGCGTGCAAGAGTTCCTTTTTTGTAGGGTGGGTGGATTACTTGAAACATTGTGAGTGATGTATACATTCTTACAAAAGGAGAGAAGAATATTAATGTGGGAAAGAACGAAAATGTCGAATTACCTCACTCACAGGTATTTTGTGGTAGATTATGTGTGTTTTGCGAATAAATGTAACCAAAAATAAACTGTATTGGTGCCACGGATACCTGTTAATAAAAAATGCAGACAGCAGACTGCAGACCGGATACAAAATATAGACTGCAGTCTGGGTACAAAATGCAGACTAAGAATCTGAAGAGTTTTTACGTCTGGTATATAATATCATCTACAGCTTACCGAGCGTCACGCAATCGCTTTTCTGCGATCCGCCCTCACGACTATTTGCACTATTGTGGAATATTCCTGGCCCATTTCTCGATGAAAATCGATCGCAATATTATTTCAAGCCTTCAATATAGTCTTCTTACTTTGCGCGCGAGTTGGTTGGTGTGATGTCTGTACAGATTTTACCAACGTAATAAAAGTAGATGACGTGAATAACAGTGATGGTAAAGCAAGCTTAAAACGGCAGAAATCGCCAGAAAATACAACGGATACACAGGGTATGAGTAAGTTTTATTGATTTTTCGAGAAAAATCTTCATATTTCGAAATATTTATCGTTGTAAATCGACCATATTTCGTTCCCTATACTATTCCTTATAACGTGTTCAAATTTTCAACGGTTCCTAGAATAACTTACTCTGAGTCACACAACGCGTGACGCGTTCGTGAATTAATCGTTGGCTCTGTCTCGAAACGTGACCTTGGGTCGCCTGTGACAAGACAATTGCGTAAACAATACTTGACATAATAACATTATGCACAAAAAACACGGGATTTTGGATCATGTATTTATTAAAAAAGAATATCCATTCAACTACAATGAAAACAAACATAAGATTCACCTTTCTGATCGTGAAATTAATACCATTCGCACTGTTATCGTAGCTACGTTCCCTGGCATCAAGTGAATTCAACATGGCGTCTTTCTTCACTAGCAGTTTGCATCCATTTGAATTTTGTTCTTCAGTCTCACGGTAGTAGTGTTGTTCAATAGATTGCATAGAGTATATGCAGTTTGGTTTCAGATTTCAGATTTTGCTTTTTACAACGAGTTTACGTTTTTAACTAAGACATTGGCATACTTGGCATACAAGACATACAAGGCATTCAATGCTTTCATGGCTTTCAAGCGTTCGCGATTCTGTCCGATCCAAAATTACCGCTCAATAACATCTTTTTGTGTGGATTGGCAGCGGACAATACGACTTGTGTATGCGTCTATAAGTATTTTGAGCGTTTGCCCCATAATGCTCCAGACGATCGTAATCCAATTACGTTGAAATACAAAACGACTGACAAAATAGTTTTATGGGCAAAAATCTCGTGTTCGTCATGTGACCCGGCCCTGTCCGTGCATGACAACGTCAATCATCATCAAGATAGCACGCGTGATCAGCATGTGAACACCTCATTGGATCACAGTTAGTTGTCATGGTGTTGAGGGCCCAATGACCTCTGGGTACTATTGCGCAATTTTTCCATTTTGTGGCGGAGGAAAAAAAAAAAAAAACTAGACCCTGTGAGCAGGGTAACTGGGATACCTGGATGATACTGGATCCGTGGAATCAAGTGTAGTGATACTACGGGTGTCGGACTAGTATACTGAAATAGTGAGCTCAAGTCTGGCCAAGGGCATACACCTGTCTCAAAACATAGGCATGCTATGCATGCAAGAGTTATTTTTTGTAGGGTGGGTGGATTACTTGAAACATTGTAAGTGGTCCACATTCTTACAAAAGGAAAGAAGATTATTAACGCGGGAAAGAATGAAAATGTCGAATTACCTCACACACAGGTATTTTGTGGTAGATTATGTGTGTTGTGCGAATAAATGTAACCAAAAATAAACTGCATTTGTGCCACGGATACCTGTTAGTACAAAATGTAGACAGCAGACTGCAGACCGGCTACAAAATATAGACTGCAGAGTGGGTACAAAATGCAGACTGAGAATCTGAAGAGTTTTTACGTCTGGTATATAATAACATGTCATCTTACAGCTTACCGAGCGTCACGCAATCGCTTTTCCGCGATCAGCCTTCACGATTATTTGCACTGTTGTAGAAAATTCCTGGCCCATTTCTTGATGAAAATCGATCGTAATATAATTTCAAGCCTTCAACATAGTCTTCTTACTTTGCGCACGAGTTGGTTAGTGTGATGTCTTTGCAGATTTTACCAATGTAATAAAAGTAGATTACGTGAATAATAGTGATGGTAAAGCAAGCTTAAACGGCAACAATCGCCAGAAACTACAACGGATACACAGGGTATGAGTAAGTTTTATTGATTTTTCGAGAAAAATCTTCATATTTCGAAATATTTATCGTTGTAAATCGACCGTATTTCGTTCCCTATACTATTCCTTATAACGTGTTCAAATTTTCAACGGTTCCTAGAATAACTTACTCTGAGTCACACAACGCGTGACGCGTTCGTGAATTAATCGTTAGCTCTTTCTCGAAACGTGACCTTGGGTCACCTGTGATAAGACAATTGCGTAAACAATACTTGACATAATAACATTATACACAAAAAACACGGGATTTTGGATCATTTCTTTATTAAAAAAGAATATCCATACAACTACAATGAATACAAACATAAGATTCACCTTTCTGATCGTGAAATGATTACCATTCGCACTGTTATCGTAGCTACGTTCCCTGGCATCAAGTGAATCCAACATGTCGTCTTTCTTCACTAGCAGTTTGCATCCATTTGAATTTTGTTCTTCAGTCTCACGGTAGTAGTGTTGTTCAATAGATTGCATCAATAGATAACACGTGATCAGCATGTGAACACCTTCACCCTCATTGGATCACAGTTAGTTGTCATGGTGTTGAGGGCGCAATGACCACTGGGTACTATGTCATCTTACAGCTTACCGAGCGTCACGCAATCGCTTTTCCGTGATCAGCCTTCACGATTATTTGCACTATTGTGGAAAATTCCTGACCCATTTCTTGATGAAAATCGATCGTAACATAAATTCAAGCCTTCCACATAGTTGGTTGGTGTGATGTCTGTACAGATTTTACCAATGTAATAAAAGTAGATGACGTGAATAATAGTGATGGTAAAGCAAGCTTAAAACGGCAACAATCGCCAGAAACTGCGACAGATACTCAGGGTATGAGTAAGTTTTATTGATTTTACGAGAAAAATCTTCATATTTCGAAATATTTATCGTTGTAAATCGACCATATTTCGTTCCCTATACTATTCTTTATAACGTGTTCAAATTTTCAACGGTTCCTAGCACAACTTACTCTGAGTCACACAACGCGTGACACGTTCGTGAATTAATAGCAATTGTTGGCTCTTTCTCGAGACGTGACCTTGGGTCGCCTGTGACAAGACAATTGCGTAAACAATACTTAACATAATAACATTATACACAAAAAACACGGGATTTTGGATCATGTATTTATTAAAAAAGAATATTCATACAACTACAATGAAAAAAACATAAGATTCACCTTTCTGATCGTGAAATTAATACCATTCGCACTGTTATCGTAGCTATGTTCCCTGGCATCAAGTGAATCCAACATGGCGTCTTTCTTCACAAGCAGTTTGCATCCATTTGAATTTTGTTCTTCAGTCTCACGGTAGTAGTGTTGTTCAATAGATTGCATAGAGTATATGCAGTTTAGTTTCAGATTTCAGATTTTGCTTTTTACAACGAGTTAACGTTTTCAACTAAGACATTGGCATACTTAGCATACAAGACATACAAGGCATTCAATGCTTTCATGGCTTTCAAGCGTTCGCGATTCAGTCCGTTCCAAAATTACCGCTCAATAACATCTTTTTGTGTGGATTGGCCGCGAACAATACGACTTGTGTATGCGTCTATAAGTATTTTGAGCGTTTGCGTCTCAATGCTCCAGATGATCGTAATCCAAACACATTGAAATACAAAACGACTGACAAAAGAGTTTTATGGGCAAAAATCTCGTGTTCGTCATGTGACCCGGCCCTGGCCGTGCATGACAACGTCAATCATCATCAAGATAGCACGCGTGATCAGCATGTGAACACCTCATTGGATCACAGTTAGTTG